TGTGTGTGTGTGTGTGTGTGTGTGTGTGTGTGTGTGTGTGAGAGAGTGTGTGTGTGTGTGTCTCACCCTCTCATGCTGAGCTCCGTCTGTCTCACATGTGCTCGCGCTGCTCAACAGGCTCTGCCATCAAAACACAAAATCAAATACTGGCCATTAAACACACAGCAAAGCCACCAGAATGTTATTGTGTGAGTGTGTTTGTGTGATGATGAAACACAGGATCCTGCTTTTAAAGTGTGACCACTAGATCACTCAATGAACATGCCCATGTCATATTTCACTCCAAAACCAAAGAGAATTCCCAAATGTTAATAATTCCAATTAAATAATTCCATAATTCCAGTGCGACGAGCAGGAGCCAGGACTAGGCTAGTTTGGAGCAGAAGCAGCGTTGAGCGTGTGAAGGACGAGTTACCGGCGTGTCAGGCGTGTGCTCCTCATCACGGCTGCAGGAGACATTAAAAGCTTTGAACGTCTCGCTGTTCTGCTTGTGCTTCTCAATCGTGGCCAGGATCACCTACAAACAGATGAGGATGATCTGATGATGAAGATTTGCTCACAACTGAAAAACCATTAGATCACGGAGCACCAGTCAGATTGATGTGAACCGAATCACCGTGTACTGACTCTAAAGAAGCATTTGTTTCCACTGCTCTGACGAACACACTTTTAGTGAAGACTGACCTAAACAAACAAAGCTTCCAAATATCTCCAGTATATTGCATGAGTCACATGAACTACTCTTAAGATACTTTTATGTTGCTTTCACGTCCCTCTTCATGATATTATATGCAATTAGAGTGCATTTCTCCTTTTGTGTTCCGCAGAGCAAAGTGAAAAATGATGAGGGTGAGCAAATCATGACAGGACTTTCATTTTTTGGCTGAGCTATCACGTCAACATGAAACATCCACATACAGCCCACTGTACTTCTGTAGTGTGACGCATCTGAGAGTGCAGTACGGTATTCCCCAGGCTTAATGGGGAGTTGACTGAATGGTGAAAAGTGTCTAATGAGAGGGCTTTAGAGTCGTTTCAGAGGGAAATTAAGCAGTTTTCTTCTTTAGAATAAAATGAATAGCTGAACTGATCACAATATGAATACGAACATGAGTCAAGAAACAATTTTTTTTTTTATGTCATTAGATGCAGTCAATTATATTTTCATGTTGACTTGAAATACGAATTGCATAAAAATAACAATTGAAATACAGTTAGAGTTGTGCTAAAATGACACCAGAAACCCTTGTCAAAAAAGTGTTTAACTGCATTGAATGTGCACTTGTAGTGTACCTAAACTTATTTAAAAAAAATATTTGTAAATAAATATTTAAAAAAAAAATAAATGTTATATATATATATATATATATAAATTCAGTTTATTTTTTTTAAACCCATTTTTAAGACAAAGTACTGATGCTTGCAGATAATATAAAATTAACAAAATAATAGGTCATTTAAGTGACTTAAAGACAGCCACTTTCATGACTGTTTCTAAATACACTTAAATACCCTTTTAAATAATAATGTCAAATTAAGTTTTACTTGAAAGTACATTTAAAATCATTATGTCTTAATAATCTTTTGTTGTGTTTTAAAGAAGTGCACTTATTCTGATGTGTTGACTAACATACTAAAGCACATGTAAAGTACTTAATTATAGCATTATAAGTTGAACTAGTGTGCTATTTGATATTAAGTTGCAACTTCATCATAACAAATATGTGATTACAAAAAATTTAAATACATGACATTACAGTGAATTATAGTATATTTTACTTGACCTTAAATGCTTGTCAGTACATTCAGCAGTACTTTAACCATATTTCAAAGACAATAGAAGCAATTAAGAAATAACATAAATATGTACCTAGTCCTACTTAGGTGGGTTAAAAAATCTCTCTATTGTTCAGTTAATTGCATTTTATAGTCATTTAAACTCAAATACATTTGATTTTATTATAAATAACATGCAATTATGTGTCTAAACATTATATTCAGTATATTATTTCTGTAGTAAGTCAGTATGCTAAAGCGTGTCTGTCTTCCAGCAGCCATTTCTCTGCAAAGAGATCGACTCACTTTTATCCAGTCGTCCTTCTCCTCAGCTGTCCTGTCAATCACAGACATGAACACACATCAGACTCCACACAGGCCCGGTGGGTAAGAGCTCATACAGCAGGATTTCTCTATGTACATTTAAGCTACATTGTGAACACTGCATACTCCTTCAATATCAAGTGCCCTAAAGATCTTTGTGAGAGTGAATGTCATGATGTTTGAAGTGGCTCTAAATGAAACTTTAGTAGCAAAGACAGAGTGAATGTATTGATGAGAAACATCAGGACTTTCGCTGTGCGTTCACCTGGCCTGCAGCTCGAGCGAGCGCTGTTTGCCGCTGATGGTGAAAGTGTGAGGGACGTTCTGCTTGGCATTTTCCTGAACCTTCAACCAACGAGAGGACATCAGCACACGATGAGATGAAGACACAAACGCAAACACGCAGCTGAACGTGCGGCTGAAGTCATACCTCCATCCCTGCGATGTCAATTCGCTCTCGAACGCTAAACTTCTGTCCCATCAGCCTCAGCTTGGGCACACAATACAGCACCATGTTATTGAACTGGAGAAACACAAACACACACATATCATCAGCACCAGCATACTCCGTCTGTACGCTCATTTGCCCTCAAGCTCTAATAAATGAGCAAATAACAGGAACAAGCTTTCAGGTTTCATTTCTTCCAGTAAGACGTTTAGCAGAAGGTTGAAAGTGCTCTTTTCTATTCAAATAAAGCATACAGTGATCAGCATTAATGACAAAAATTCATAATCAGCAAAAATTAAGTTGTGATATATTTACGGTAAGAAATTTACAAAATATCTTCATGGAACATGATCTTTACTTAATATCCTAATGATTTTTGGCATAAAAGAAAAATGTATAATATACTGATTCCTGCTAATTCTTCTTTTACATTTTTAAAAATTTGTTATTTATTTTTTACATGTAATGCAGTGATTCCCAAACTTTTTTGGGGTAATATACAGTATATAACATATTTACTTAAAATTTAGAGATTTAAAATTAAGATTTTAAAATAAATATTTTAATAATGAAGCATTACATTTGCATGTTCACGGTTCTCTGACGCTGGTTAATGGTCACAAGACATGCAGGTAAACGCATAAAATATTTTATTTTTTTCAGTAAGTGTTTTATTATGATTTGTTATTTTAACATGATTTATTTTTATTTTTATGATTTTTAATTTATTTTTATGATTATTTGCTTTTCATTAAACTCACACACACTCAGTTGCCTTATGAACTCCAGTTTGGGAAAGCTTGATGTTATGTAATGTTTAACGCACTTCATGTTGTTAATTACAACAAATGGAAAATATTTTCTGTTTCTTTGCATTTTTATATTGATATGGTAGATTAGGAAGGTTATCCTATTTAAATCAATGTGAAAAAAGAGTTAGGTCAAAAGTAATCAAAAAGTAGTCTGATTATATTACCTAAAATGTGTAAAGTAATGGATTACGTTACTAACTACAACTTTTGTCATGTAATTTGGAATCAGTAAGGTGTTTGACCGCTGCTCTCGCATCTTTTGCAGCGTCTCGCGCATGAAACATTTAAAAATGTGGTGCTCAAGTTAAAATAAGTTTTTTCATTCTACAGCCCATTTGCTTGCAAAAACACATTCTGTGCCCCTTAGGACCCTTTTTTTTGTTGTTGATTCCGTCACATGAGGAAAAGAGCAGCATGAACATTCTGCTAAACATCTCCTTTTGTGTTCGAAACAACAGTAAATGAGTGAATGATGAGAATTTCATTTTCAAGTCACAACCCATGATAACCCTTGCTGCAAGAACACTTTTGAAATCCAGATAAACTGCTTAATGGAGCACACAGACACACCAGATAGAGGTATCGGTCCTGTGCGCTGCCGTTCTTAGCCGACATCTTCTTGAAGTGGCCTTCTTTAATGAACTCATTAGCTGGATTAACGATGTCCTCCTCTCCGCCCAACTTCTCATACACCTCCAACAGCTTGTGCATCTTCTCCTGCGCGCGCACACACACACACACACACACACACACACACACACACACACACATATTTGCACTCACAGACAGCGCTGCCGTTCTTAGCCGACATCTTCTTGAAGTGGCCTTCTTTAATGAACTCATTAGCTGGATTAACGATGTCCTCCTCTCCGCCCAACTTCTCATACACCTCCAACAGCTTGTGCATCTTCTCCTGCGCGCGCACACACACACACACACACACACACACACACACACACACACACAGATTTGCATTCACAGACTCATTCTATGAAAAGAAGGACTATGACCTTGACCTAATGCATGACAGCATTAGAAAGAGGCAGATAGAGAAGTGAGAGTGATATAGAGCGCTTTCACCCAGGACAGCCTTTTCGCTCGCACAGACAGGAAATGGAAACAGCATATCCTGTCTGAGACACAGACGGAAGAGAGGAGGAACAGATGAATATGGCTCTAACCATTTTTCTGATGGCAGCATTGGAGTGGTTTGCTGCGGTGGAGATCAGCTCCAGAGCATCTGAAACACACACACACACACACACACACACACACAATAAACAAGCAGTTAAACACACTGTCACTAAACAACACACGCTTCTCTCAAAACTCCCTGTGGTGCATAAAACCACACACAAATACAGTAGATATGGTAGGAATAAAAGGCTAAATTCAATAAATATATTAGGGTGACCATACGTGCCATTTTCCCAGGACGCGTCCTGGCCAGGATTTCTATATTGCCTAAAATATCTAGGTTTTGGCTCTGTTTGCGTGTGCAGACCGATCGGTGTATGACATCAAAATACCATACAGACGGTTCCTTATGCTTTCAAAATGCTCTCGAGGTACTTTGATGTCATACACCGATCGGTCTGCACACGCAAACAAAGCCAAAACCTAGATATTTTAGGCAATATAGAAATCCTGGCCAGGACGCGTCCTGGGAAAATGGCACATATGGTCACCCTAAAATATATAATGTAATTATTAAGGATGTTGCAATCAATAGGTTTATAAAATGCATACATCTCAATTTCAGAAAATTGACCCTTATGACTGGTTTTGTGTAAGTGGAACATATTAATTTTTTATATTAACTAAAAAACGATGTGAAATGCCACGTGAAAAACGCCTTTAAATAACACTCAGTTATAGAAATACATCGAACTCAGAAATAGAGCAGCATGTGTCTGCCGTTGGCGCTGCACGTGTCCAGACTCAGCCAGCAGCATCATTATTATAACGAGCTCAATTAGCATTTGTGAACAGTGGTGCTGCGTCACAATGGCATTTCATAAAGATGACACGCATGAACACCAGCGGACGAGCCCAGTGAACACATCATTACTGCACCTTCACTTCAGATAATGAGCCTCAAACACTGCTTTAGAGCCGCCATCCTGACCGTCAAGAGTTTGCACTTCCGTACACTACCGATCTAAAGTTTGGGGTCAGTAACACTTTTATTCATCAGTGACACATTAACCTGATCAAAAGTGCCAGTGAAAACATTTATAATGTCACACAAGATTTCTGTTTCAAATAAATGCTGTTCTTTTGAACTTTCTATTCATCTGTGAATCCTGAAAAATAAAATGTGTCACGGTTTCCACAAAAATATAATCCCTAACTGTTTTCAGCATTGATGATAATCAGAAATGTTTATTGAGCAGAAAATCAGCATATTAAAATGATTTCTGAAGATCATGTGACACTGAAGACTGCTGTAATGATGCTGAAAATACACCTTTGATCACAGAAATAAATTACACTTTAACAGATATTCACATAGAGAGCAGTCTTGGTGAGCAAAAGAGACTTCTTTCACTAAAAAATCATACAGACCCCAAACTATGGAATGATAGAGTATATTTCATGTTGTTCTTTATTTCAGGGCGTACAGTATATCATCTCGTATTTCAGGTGGTGTTTTTCATTTTACATAAATAAATAAATACATACATTTCTCCAAATAACTTATTTGTACTCACTGTTCATTATGTTTGTGTTTATTGATTGGAACATTTGATTATGTATTTAATTATTAACAGTTTTTATTATATTAAATAATATTAATTTTGTCACAATTTATTTAGATTTGTGCATTTTATAAGGTTTTTCATTTTAAGGCATATTTTACATGGCATTTCATGTTCCTTTTAATTTTACATTAATAAATTATCACATCACACACCTATTAATATTTACAGTTTTATCGTCCTTTTATTTATGTATTGAAACATTCCATTATGTTTTAAATAATATTCAAATTATGTGTTCATTTATTTAAATCCCCTAATAAATCAATAATAGAATTATACTACTTTGCTGTCCAGGAGAAATCTAATTTGTGATATTATTTATATAACAATTTATAATAATAAATCTAAATATATTCAACAAACAGATCAATAAAAATGTACCTATATTTCTATTATTAGTATTAGCTCTTATTATAACCATCAGGATTTTAGACTTTCCACATTGTAATGGCGTATATTAATGTATAAGTAGCTGAAATGTAAATGTAAGTAGTCTGTGTTTGAACAGTGTGAGCTCACTCTGGGCGTCTCTGCGGTCTGCAGCTCCGGCGGGCAGCTTCTTCAGATAGTCCTTCAGTAAGAGCTCATAGCGCGGGATCCGCTGCACCGGCTCCAGCATGTGATGCTGCAGCGTCAGGTTCCCACACACCTCCTGCTTCTGCACACACACACAGACACACAGACACAGACACAGACACAGACACAGACACAGACACACAGACACACAGAGACACAGACACAGACACACAGACACACAGAGACACAGACACAGACACACAGACACACAGAGACACAGACACAGACACACAGACACACAGAGACACAGACACAGACACACAGACACACAGAGACACAGACACAGACACACAGACACACAGACACAGACACACAGACACAGACACAGACACACAGACACACAGACACAGACACACACATGTTCAGAGAACAGTCTGCAGTTTATCAGACATCGCCAGTGTTGGGGAAAGTTACTTTTAAAAGTGATGCATTACAATATTGCGTTACTCCCTAAAAAAAGTTACTAATTACGGTACTTAGTTACTTTTTATGGAAAGTTACTTTGCAAATCTGGGCAGGGCTTGCTTGTTTGTTTTTATTATAAACAGTTCTTCTTTTACAAACGTAAAAGCCCTTTCACAACAGAAGTGAAATGAATCCGCCTCAGGCTGAAGGAAATGTAAATTCACGTCTGTACAGTAGAGGGCGCCGCTCAAACAAACTGCATGAAGAATATGACGCAGCAGAAGAAAGTTCAGCACTATTCAGCAATAACACAAATGAAACACAAATGTGTTATTTTTGTTTATATTATGGTTGAATTGGATCATCGAAGGTCAGTAGCAAAGACATTGGTTAATAAAATGGGATTAAATACATAAATTATATTTATCTTATTTAACATATTTAATTATTGCAGGTTTGTATAATATTCTGAGTTTGCATTTGACAGTATTTATTGATTTTGAGGAACACTGAATGTGTTTGTGTGCAGTGAGATGAGTAAACACATGTTGATATTTAGTCTAGAGCTACAGTAAGATCATGTTCACACACAACGCTCTGCACTTACTCCTGATTTCTGTCACCATGGTAACACCAGAGCTGTCACTCAATACATGGAAACAAAGTAGCTGCTGTTACTTATTTGAAAAAGTAACTCTGATATTTCCTTCTAAATTAAAAAAGTAATGCGTTACTTTACTAGTTACTTAAAAGTAATCTGATTACGTAACTCGCGTTACTTGTAATGCGTTCCCCCAACACTGCACATCACACACATCATATCATGTCAGGCGGCTCTGACCTGGATGTTCTGGACCACGCTCTTGAACTGAGCGGAGCGCTGCGTCCATGTGCTCACCAGCTCCATGGCACGATCGAAGTTCTTCACATACTCGCCGTACATCTTCAGGAATGGGGCCAGCTTCTGCAGGATGTCCCCTATGCGCGGATTACAGCTCCTGTCACACACACACACACACACACACACACACACACACACACACACAAATGCCTGTATGCCCCTGGGCAAAACTGCCCAGTTCATGTAGGAGTCAAGAGGCTGAGGAACTGGAGAATGTGGTTTCAGCTGCTTAAAGCCATCAGTGAAGTTTCAGTCTATTAGGCACACACACACACACACACACACTCATTAGCCATCTGAAATCTGTCTATATTCATCAATCACTCTCTGCAACACTGCATTCTGATTGGTCACATGATTCTGCTGTCAAACACTGGAGTATAAAACGCTGAACTCTATAATAGAGTGTTTGTCCCAGGAAACTGTGCTGGTGTCATGTCTCTCCTATCACTCTTAATGACAGTAAAATCCTCGTTCATTGGGGAATATTTTAGTTTTAATGTCTGTTTTATTTACACATTAAATTAAATCTCGTTTTGCTCAAGTTTTCACAAAGGCAGTGTTTGAGACTGAGTCAAACTGGTAACCCGTATTTCTGAACTATTAATAAAAGAATCAGCTCATGACAGTCATTCATTTCAGGAAAATAGTAATTTTAAATTGTAATAATATTTCACTATATTACCGTTTTTACTGTATTTTGATTAAATAAATGCAGCCTTGGTGATCAGAAGAAACTTCTTTAATCAGTTAATTCATTAAGAAACACCTGTGTTAAAAATCTGTGAAGTTGTCCTTTAATGACTATTTTACATTTATTTTTTTGGCTAAATAATACTCGTTTTCATAAAATATTACTTCTATTTGTTTCTAAGCATATGTTGTTACCAAATGTCTTTCTTCAGTGTAATAGTGTGTCCATGTGAAAAACCTCACAGTGGCTGACTCCACACACACACACACACACACACACACACACTCTCAAACTCTCTCTCTCTCACACACACACACACACACTCACTCAAACACTCTCTCACACACACTCAAACATTCACACACACAAACTCTCTCTCTCACACACACACACACACACTCACTCAAACACTCTCTCACACACACTCAAACATTCACACACACAAACTCTCTCTCTCACACACACACACACACACTCACTCAAACACTCTCTCACACACACTCAAACATTCACACACACAAACTCTCTCTCTCACACACACACACACACACTCACTCAAACACTCTCTCACACACACTCAAACATTCACACACACAAACTCTCTCTCTCACACACACACACACACACTCACTCAAACACTCTCTCACACACACTCAAACATTCACACACACAAACTCTCTCTCTCACACACACACACACACACTCACTCAAACACTCTCTCACACACACTCAAACATTCACACACACAAACTCTCTCTCTCACACACACACACACACACACACATACACACACACACACACACACACAGGCCTCAGAAAGCACACTTAACTCATGCTTATAAATGCCTCTATGTGACTGACTGCATCAAAAAAACAAAATATCAAAGTAGCATCACCGCTCACATGCTTCTCTCAGAACTAACTTTATTTGCAGTGTGTTTGAAACTGTTGTTTGGTGGTTTTAGTGGACATGTGACATTCACAAAGGTGTCCAGACAGAGGAACCATCATTTACATCTACTATAAGCACGTTCCACTAACAATTCACAGCCAGACAGTCTAACAGTGCATCAACTACCACATACTGATTTATCATCTCAAACCCAACACACTTTGCTTTGGTGTGTGTGTGTGTGTGTGTGCGTGTGTGTATGTGTGCGTGTGTGAGTGTCCCGTTTAAATATTAAGGGTGACTGAGCTTTTGCAGTTGCGGCACCTACACAATGGAATGCACTTCTATAAAGGTACAATAATGCCTAAAAGATTTGCATACACAGGGTAAGAGTTGTGGAAGTGTACATAAGACTGTAAGCATAAATTAAATTTGCATGCGCAAGAGAAGCTTTGCAAAGGTGTAAATCGTGTTTCAAGCATAAGAAAAAATTATTTGCAGCATTTTACTGTTACTCGTAAGTGTAATTCATGTATTGTGAAACTGCAGCTTCTCGTCTTTCTCTTCTCTGCGCTTACAATTTTGGCATGATTCTCTCTAACTGAGTTTTGCGAGCGTGAGGGGGAGGGCGGGGCCACCACTTTCTTGTAGCCAATCAAATGAGGCTCTCGCTGACTCTCCATTTACTCTTATCTGATTGGTTCAATAAACACATCACACGCCAAAATATTAATCTTCATTTAGTTCAGGATCGTTCTTGCTGCCAATCTTTTAGGCATTATTTTACCTTCATACACTTCCAGTTGCCGTGAGATCCTCTCCCACGTTGGATAATTTTAAATCTAGATTGAAGACTTGTTTATTGTCTTTAGCCTATAGCCTGAGAATACTGGGGTTACATATTTGTTTATGGTTTATCTTGCATGCTTTTATTTGTATCCTATGAGTTTTTATTTATTTGTTTTTGCTTTTTATATTGTTTTATGTTTATAAATTGTACAGCACTTTGGTTCCACTCTTGTTGTTTTTAAATGTACTTTATAAATAAACGTGAACTTGAACTTGTGTGTGTGTGTGTCTGTGTGTGTGTGTGTGTGTGAGAGTGAGTGAGTGCGTGAGTGTGTGTGTGTGTGTGTGTGAGAGAGAGAGAGAGAGTGTGTGTTCTCACCACTCCTGTGTGATGCGTGTCTGTAGTTCAGGCAGCAGGAACTGGTGGTGGAAGAGGTAGATGCTGGAGATGTTGGAGAAGATTCCTGTGATGACCTCAGCAGGGATGCCAGCCTCCGTCAGACGAGCACAAAACACCTGGACACACACACACACACACACACAATGATACAGGGGTTACTGTTAATCTATAGCTCAGGATAGAGACAATCAAATTACGTAACTTGTTTAAAGTTTAGTAACAGTTTGGTCTAATTCAAACGCTTCAGAAAACAGTTTTTTTGGAGCTTCCTGGTTTTGGTCACCATTCACTTGCACTATATGGATCTATGGAGCTGAAACATTTTCTGAAACTCTGCAGAAGAAAGAAACTCAAACCCATCTGGGACGCCACCGGAGAATCGTTTGTTCCTTTTAGGAGCACTTTTTGCGCTCTCGTTTCATACAAACAAACGCACCTCAGTTTTCGACTGTATTTACTGTAAAATGAAACCAGACGACTTCAGTATTAATAGCAGGTCTGTGGTAATGTTGTTGACGTGTTGGCCTGCTAGAACAATTGTTTTATACACTGAAATGGATTAATACATAATAAATAGGTAAGATTTTGAAATGCTTTCTTCTGAAATCAATATTTCATGTCCAATGTGATTAATAATAATAATGATTAAGTGGCATGACTGTACATTTTCCCTTAAATGCATATAGTTTGAACTTGTTCATTCGTCTGGGCTCAAAGCCGTTTGTTAGGAATGTTTTTCTTCACGAAAGCTTTGCATTTAAGGAGCTAATAAATTTCCACTCAAATCAATATTTTGTGTCCAATTATTGACATGTAGCGAGTAGCCGTGTAATAAGTGGTATAACGTGATACAAGACCCCTGCGTTTCACATCCACATCCTGATATTTTCAATAACAACCGGCTCTTTTACTTGTCATTTAACTGGAAGAAGGTTTGTTTACAGTTGATTTCTTCTATATTTTATATAATAATCGAAATAATTAAATCGCATTTTAATTTATAATGAAATCAGTTGATTAAATAAGATGAATAAATCAAATAAAAGTAAATAATCACAGTAATTCCTTCTCATCAGGCCTTTTTTTAGATGAGAAGGACGCTGGCCTTGCTGCATCAATCACCACTTTCATTTGCAGGTCAAATGGAGTAAAATTAAAAAGATGAGAACAAGAAAAGCACAAAAGCAGCAAGCGTTTCTCAATGTTTTATGGCGACACATGACAGTGTGGTCTGAAAGCTTGTTGTGGGTTTATTCTGCCCCAAGGAATCAGTTTGATCAGTTTGGAATCAAAAATCATTGATTGTAGAGGAAATAAACTAAGAGGAAGTGTCAGAAACAGGAAGCTGTGTGAACACAAAACACCTCATTTCAATGTAAATAAGGAGAAACTCTGAATACTCAAATGCAGCATGCGGACGAAAGGGAAAACGGAGGACTAGTGATCTGTGCTGGTGTGCGTGTTACCTGGTCCAGCAGGTTGAGTCTTTTCACATATGCTTCTTCTGTCTGGAGCAACTCTTTAGCGATGTTCAACAGCTTCTGCGACTGAGAGACAGAGAGAGCAAGACAGGAAGGCACATCGGTTTCAGGCAAACTAAAAAAAGACAAAAACCCGTGTTTAAAAATGCCACATGCCTGGTAACAAACTTCCTTCAAATGACAAAATCAACCAGTGTTTTACCACTTACACAGTCACACAATGCCTAACAGGAAAGAAAATGTTGTTCTTCAGCAGTGTTGGGCTATTTAGTCAAAAAATCTAATATATTACTCATTACTAAAGTAATAATATCCACATCCACTGTCTTCACTGACACACACATAAACACACTCCTGCAATCAAAAGCAGGAAACCGTCTTTACATTGTTAATCAAGCAGTGAATGCACTAAAGCCTCTAGCAGAACAACACTGCTTTATCAAACACTGCAGATTAACACTAACACTAATACTTTTTATTTGAGAAAACAAACCAAATACGTGTCTCCAGTAATGCAGATACAATGGAAGTGATGGTTCAGATGGTGCATTTGAAATTTTTATGGTATATGGATGATTCTAATCTGTTTAGGTCATATTTTACTTCCAAAACAAAGAGAACAAATGTACTGTGCATGAATAAAATAAAGCCTATTATTATAAGTCATTCTTTTCCCCGTTTTTCCCAATCTCTCATTCTCATACTGTGATTTAAGAACATACAGTAAAATAATACAGTTGTAAATAGTACTGCTTTTAATTCAGGCTTTTATTGAAAACAAAACCCATTGCATTATATAAAAATGACTACTGAATGAGAATCATCAGGGAGAAAACCATCTTAAATGGTCTTTTGATTGCGCAATGAAATTTTTTGTAATATTCAAGCATATGTTCAGTCAGACCAAATAAATAAGTTCAACCGTGCAAAAATGTGGAAAATTAGATCAATTAGTTTAAAGAAATCTAAACGACATTTTTCACATCTTGTTCTTCGCCTCAGTTAATGTCGGGCAGCCATGAAAGATGCATCTATCGCTCACATGCACACACACAACAGCAGCTCATCCCACATCCTGTGTGACAGCATGCTATTAAAAACACGCACACACACACACACACACACACACACACACACACACCTTTCCTACAGCAGATGTGCTGCTCACTCCAGGAAACACAGGAAAGACCAGAGCTGTGTGTGGATCTGAGCACAAAGCGTGAAGAATCCAGAGGTATCAGGGCGTGTGTTTGGTGAATGCGTGTGCTCTTATTATGGGCGACTCCTGCTGCGTGGACACAAAGCTCTGTTCCTGTCACACCTTACCGGCACAAAAACACCCCTGCAGTCTCTCTGGGGCCTGACTAACTGCTGACTCGCACCTATACACTCTGCAGGTCTGGGCCCGTATTCACAAAACATCTTCAGGCTAAAAGTAGCTCATAACTCGCAGATTTAAAAGAAAATCTTAAAAATAATGGGTGTGTCAGTCCTAAATTTAGGACTCCTAAATGTTTGCTCTAAGAGTATTTCACAAAGCGTTTTGGCTCTAAAACTAGCTCCTAAATCTGTGAAAGGTTAGGAGCAGTGAAGAGGAGTCCTGAGTCACTAAGACCAAGCCACAAACTATCCTAAAATAGCTGTTGCTGGCAATCTGTCTCTGAACACAAACATTTTAGAAACATCTGAGGATAATGAGCTTTTAAAAAGGTATCACCTTTGGTTTTGGAGGTTACCCCAACTTGTGTGTGTGTGTGTGTGTGTGTGAGAGAATGTATTAGTGGATCCTGTCATTCATCATGAAGCAGCAGTAATGGTTTTGGGAAGCAGGGGAACCTGTTGAGCGAGTGCAGAGACGCACCCTCAGCTGCACGCTCTCAGACATCAATGAACTTCATCAAATTAAGGAAAACTTAAGGAAGAAATTAAGGAAGGACCCCCATTGGTTTCCATGCAATTCATAAAAAATGTACACGGTTACACTTTATTTTAAGGTGTCCTTGTTACAGTGTAATTATACATTTAAGTACTAGGGATGTAACGATGACCGGTTTGCCGATAAATCATGATAAAATTCCCCATGGTTAGTATTACCGTTTCATATTTTAATTATCATTATAACCGTATTCGATTACCGCAATTTGAACAGCTGAGGATAAATAAACACTGTCCAGCATAAAGCAGAGTTTTCAGTAACAGCACAGCACACAGAGTAGTTGCGTTTTGCGTGAAAACATGGCGTAAAGCTGGGAGGTTTAAAAGAGTGCTAAGGGAATTATACAAATGAATATATGCATGAGTTAATTATATGAATGTACCTCTGAAGATTCTGACTGTCTTCAGAAAAGATTCAATGGCATTTTGTTTTCATCTTCGCTCCATGTAATACCTAATAAGGTAGTGTTTTAATCACAATGCTGGTTAACTGGGAAACAGCTGTAATTCTGCTGCTCCATCAGCGCCACCTGCTGTCAGAGAGTGGATCTACAGAGACTCACATTCACATTCAGCCTGTGTGCAGTTTCTGTCTGGACTAAATGCAGACCGAATTTACACGCCCTGGTGTAAATTTTGACCGGTTGATGAAAAACAAGCTTATGTGGATTGTACACATTTAAACAATTTGGATAAGTTATCTAGAATTATTTATGGAGCAGATTAAATACATATAATCATTGATTAATTATCATTTTTACTTAAAGGGATAGTTCACCCAAAAATGAAAATCCTGTCATTAATTACTCACCCTCATGTGGTTCCAAACCTGTAAGACCTTCGTTCATCTTCGGAGCACAAATTAAGATATTTTTGATGAAATCTGAGAGCTCTCCGACCAGAGCCGGCACCAGCGCAGCACTCATGAGGGGGCACTCATGACTTTCTTTGAACGTGAACTAAAAGCTACTTAGCAAATACAGATGGCAGAGTATTGAATAAAACAAAATCGCATAGACACCAAATTCGAAAATCTGACATCCAGGAAATAAATGTCTTAGGCAGCAGTTTTACCACAAATACAGACAAGTGATACCACCACAACCACCAGAAATACTTAATTGTGTCTGCTTCACAATGAAACACAAGCTCATTGCGACCGATTCCCTGACATAATACTTCATTGCAACCTATTTAACAGATGCATCATTTTAAGTTAGAGCAACTTGAACAGCAACAAACAAAAACAATACAGCGAAATAATTAACTAACTACGATAATCTAGGCCTCTATTAAACATAAAAAAATTATTTCATCATAGCTTACTCAGTAGTGCTGCATTCTTAGTTGCACCGCTTGCGCGGAATTAGTCAGAGATGTAACAATTAAAATGCGACTTTGTGAAATGGACTGTCCTAAATTGTTGCTATAGTAGCATCATATGAATGCTAAAAAGCCTATGCATTTGGTAACTATATTTTTTAAATAAACCATTATATTTCATAATTAAAATCTATTTTCACACTCATCTTGGGTGAGGGTTAGGGTTAGGGCGACGCCCCCTCACACCCCCCAGTGGCGCCGGCCCTGTCTCTGACCCTCCCATAGCAAGGATACTAACACGATCAAGGCTCAGAAACGTAGCAAGGAGATCGGTAAAATAATCCATGTGACATCAGGGGTTCAACCGTAATATTACGAAGCTACGAGAATACAAAAATAATGACTTTATTCAACAATTCATCACCCTATAGCACCATTTTGGAGAGTATCACATATGTAGACAACATATGAAACGTATATGTTGTTTACGCTTTGAACTGAACATAACCAACGTATCCAAAACATAATTCATAAGAATTTTTGTACAACCTTTCAAAAACACATCTATGTGTCAAAACTTTGCATTCACATTCATGACCCTAAATGAGAAAAAGTCACACAATTTCAAGCAGAAATAAATAGTTCAGTCAGTTAAAAATCTGAATGTGGCTCAACAAGAGGGTTAAATAATAAATTAATAAACTAATAGACTTATGTTAGAGAGCGTGTTGAAGACAATTGCATTTCTTCTTCTTCTTATATTTAGCATATGAGAGGAGCTAGTAAACTGAGACTTGTTTCACAGCCTCCACTCATCTGCACAATGGTAACCAGAAAACTCAAAAACGACAGAAACTCTTCTAAATCTTCAACATAACTAAACATTAAACATTTACGAGGAGTTATCTTTACTGAAACCCACATAAAATAACACTTCATGTCAACATTTACTCCCCTAATACAGTTTCATGCAAAGCATGCTGGGAACTAGAGATCCACTGCCCATGTCAATAAAAACGATCCATGTAGCCCAACACAAAATGATTTAGTTAACTTACATTTTACAATTTTATGTAGTTGAAATTAAACGGTGGCAAAACTGTCAAGAGTTATGTTGCTTCAGCTCATTTAACAAAGTCATTTAAACAAGCAGCAAAAACGACACTACAGCTAGAAACAAAACTATATGGAGAGAATTATGTAGGCAAATGAAGATACACAGTTAAAGACCTAGAATGGACCTACTGTTATTCCTGTATTATATAAATGTTCTAAGAACTGATACATTCTAGTTTTTACTGGAAACATAAAAATAAAACAGTGTGGTGCGTGTTGATGTCAAACGTGCTCATATAAATAGCCACACACATGAACTGAATAACCAGCGGTTTCCATCGTCTCTGGTCAATGAAACCAACACAACAACTAGAGCACACACACTCACACTCGCGCGCACGCAGACACACACACACACACACACACACACACACAGAGTGGCAAAAACCTAGCTAGACAGCACTGCAGGCATCAAATCTGCAAGTCCACTTCACAGTGAAGGCAAACCCAGAATGCATTGCAACAATTTAAGAGGAAAAAATGATCCAAGAAGATGGCTTTTGATTACACAGGGTTTTTTTTTTTTTTTACAATCGTTAGGACAGATTTCTCAATACTTAGGTCACTTTTTCAAAACTCTTCACACAGTTCTCATTTCACATTGAAAATGCACTAAAACTACCAAAACTCTTCATACGGTCTCAAATCGAGTCATTCTTCATAATACTAGCAAAGGTTTTCACCCAACAAACAGACGTAAAACACAGGGAACAGCAACAGGAAGCAGCATACAGTGTTTTCTTTGTAAAATCTCTTTAAATCAAGTGTTCAGAATTCACTGCAGTACATGTTACACACTCCATGTTTACATAACATTCCAACATTATTCCCAAATTGAATCTTTTGTATAGATGGGAATGAAATTACAAGACTAACACCTGTGCAGGTGTTCAGCTACACTGAATGGTTTTGATAGTATTTCTATTATTAGGGTTTACATTTGGAATATATTTCAATATGGCATTGCTGTAGAAATGCTGTCTTATTCAGTTTTGTATTATGTTTAGGCTTTCAACAGTTTATTTTAAGTATGTAAAGGCGACTCAATGATATGTAAATGTTTTAAGTGTTCTTAGTTTGTTTTTGTTTTTTTGTAAATTTGTGATGAAACTGATTGCATTGCTGTCCATTTTGGCCAGGACACTCCTGTGAAAGAGATTTTTAATCTCAGAGAGTCTTTCCTGGTTAAATAAATAAATAATAATAATAAATCGGCCTGTAGGTCCACTGAGTTTGGGTGATTTTTGTGTTTCTGAGTGAGAAATGAATTCATGTGATTTGAAAGATGTCATTGAATGTATTTTGTGTCAAAGCAATGATAAACGATCCACGGTTCAGCCACACTGATGCTGTTTTGCTCACTGAAAGAGTGACTTAAGTACTGAGAAACGGATCCTAGCCACTGTGAAGAACTCTAACCTTCACTTTAACCCAGTATGTTTATGTGCACCACTTATTTTACACCTATAATCGACATGCTAACCATGGGCGGAGCCTGCGGGGGCCTCCCCTAACGATTGAAAGATTTTAATAAATATTTGTTAATTAATAATGTTTTCAACTCAAAGGTAAATATGCACATAACGTAGTTATTTTAATATATTTTAAATTGTTATTTTGTAAATAAATTAATAAATAAAATCAAAGTTACTAATGGCTTCCCTGATCTCATTTGCAAGAGGTTGTCGCGTGACGAATCTGCATTTTGGCGGATAATAGCCTGCTTGCCTGTTGCATGGCGAGTGGTTATTTAGCGTTTTTTTTAAAACATACAGCAACTGCACTGGAATCTGGACCGAACCAAAACAAAGTCAGATGAAGATGCCGATGCTTGAATCTCATAAAGGTGATCCACAGGACGCTCGTTATAGCAGCACAGTGTTTTACATCGATGTCAGGAAAAGGACCATTTCCATCCAAATGTAATTTAATGCACACAGAACAGAACCTAGAAATAGATTTCAGAATATAAACTGCTTAATCTACGATTTTTAGTAAGATTTAACGTTACTAAATATGTTTGTGTGCCTGCTTTTGTGCGTTTAACTTGAATCTTGTCCAACAGACATCTGTTTTAAAGCAGTGGGTAATTCACTCGTTGATTAATTTGCTTAAAGTCTACTTTGCGATTCTGCTGACAAACATGTTTATAGTGCATTCTGTTCGACATGTTTATTGCTAGCGCAGCAAAAATATGTATCTGGCAACCTCACGGCTTGCTGCTGCTCTGTGCAATAATAGTAAAACCGCTTAAATTGTACACGGAGTGTGAATTTGTACGTTTACTACAGAAATGCTAAATGTATTTAAAAGTTTGACTGAGCAAATCGACTGGCTTGGTTTGGCCCCCCAAGCTCAAAACATCAAGCTACGCCTATGATGCTAACGTCAAACTCAGTGTGAGCTGAAAAAAAACAATAGAACCATCACAGAAAATTCTAATGGTTTCCACTACAAATACCATTACAAACCATCACCTTTTAACCATTAAAACTAGTGCTGTCTAATCGCATCCAAAATAAAAGTTTTTTTTTTTGCATAATATATGTGTGTGTACTGTGTAGATTTATTATGTATATATAAATACACACACATACAGTATATATATTTTTTTAAATATATACATGTATATACATTTATATATTTTATATTATATATAAATATATTTAATATATAAACATAACATATTTTTCTTAAATACATACATGCATGTGTTTTATATTTATATATACATAATAAATATACACAGTACACACACATATATTATGTAAACAAAAAAACTTTGATTTTGGATGCGATTAATTGCGATTAATCGTTTGACAGCACTAATTAAAACCATTAAAAAATTGTTTTCTGTAGTGTGTTTTGGGACATATTCCATTAGGATTTATTGGTTTTAACAAGCAATTACCAGTAGAGACCCACAGGGTCCATTACAGTTTCCATTAAAACCAATACAAGTCCCATTTAAGTACCAGTAAAACCATTACAAATTTTGTGATGGTGTCTATTCTGCACGCTTTAGTCACCTCTTCCAAACACAGGTCTGCGCTCTCACCTTGATCTCCAGGCTCTCGGGATCCTCGCCGCTCCCCTCGTCCAGGTCGCTGTCCTCGTCCTGCGTGGAGTCCCGCTTGTCTGCGGCGGTGGTCTCTGTGGCCAGGCTGGCACTCCTGTCCTCGCTGGGGAAGCCCTCTGCCTCCGCTCCGCAGGACGGACTGTCGATGCCGCTGTCCCGGTTGGGGATCTTTCGGATCTTTCCCGTCCCCTCGTGACCCTGCGACCTTGCCTCCTCGCCATCTGCGTGTTTACTGCTCCCCTCGCTCCCCTCGCCGTCTGAGTCACTGCGATTACTCTCCAAACCACTGCTGCACTGTTTCTGATGCTCTTTCTGAAGTTCCTCTGTAATCTCCGCGTCACTGGCAGAGTCCGTCTGGTAGGAGTTTAAGCTGGACAATCTCAAAAGCTCAGAGATTTCACATGCTTTAAATGAAAGTGCATCATCTTTCTCCAGCGCTGCTGCCGCTGGTGTCTCGCTGAGCTGAGGATGATCGCTGGTGTCTCGAGAGGCTGGAGAATCCATGTTGGCTCCCCAATGGAGGCCGCTCCTCCGCTGGAGGCCCAGAATGGGAAACCTTACAAGATGAAGGAGCAATGATGGTCTAAAAGTGTAAAGTGTTTCACATGTATCTTGTCAAACATGTGAAATAAGTGGCTTAGGCCCTGTTTACACCTGGAATTAAGAGACCGGTTTCACAGACAGAGCTTAGTTTAAGCCAGGACTACACTCTTAAAAATAAAGGTGCTTAAAAGGTTCTTCACAGCGATGCCATAGAAGAACCATTTTTGGTTCCACAAAGAACCATTCAGTCAAAGGTTCTTTAAAGAACCATCTTTCTTACCTTTTTATAATCTGAAGAACCTTCTTTCACTACAAAGAAGCTTTTGTGAAACAGAAAGGTTCTTCAGATGTTAAAGGCTCTTTATGGAACCATTTAGACAAAAAATGAGCTGAAAAAAAACAATAGAACCATCACAGAAAATTCTAATGGTTTCCACTACAAATACCATTACAAACCATCACCTTTTAACCATTAAAACTAGTGCTGTCTAATCGCATCCAAAATAAAAGTTTTTTTTTTTGCATAATATATGTGTGTGTACTGTGTAGATTTATTATGTATATATAAATACACACACATACAGTATATATATTTTTTTAAATATATACATGTATATACATTTATATATTTTATATTATATATAAATATATTTAATATATAAACATAACATATTTTTCTTAAATACATACATGCATGTGTTTTATATTTATATATACATAATAAATATACACAGTACACACACATATATTATGTAAACAAAAAAACTTTGATTTTGGATGCGATTAATTGCGATTAATCGTTTGACAGCACTAATTAAAACCATTAAAAAATTGTTTTCTGTAGTGTGTTTTGGGACATATTCCATTAGGATTTATTGGTTTTAACAAGCAATTACCAGTAGAGACCCACAGGGTCCATTACAGTTTCCATTAAAACCAATACAAGTCCCATTTAAGTACCAGTAAAACCATTACAAATTTTGTGATGGTGTCTATTCTGCACGCTTTAGTCACCTCTTCCAAACACAGGTCTGCGCTCTCACCTTGATCTCCAGGCTCTCGGGATCCTCGCCGCTCCCCTCGTCCAGGTCGCTGTCCTCGTCCTGCGTGGAGTCCCGCTTGTCTGCGGCGGTGGTCTCTGTGGCCAGGCTGGCACTCCTGTCCTCGCTGGGGAAGCCCTCTGCCTCCGCTCCGCAGGACGGACTGTCGATGCCGCTGTCCCGGTTGGGGATCTTTCCACTGGCCTCCGTCCCCTCGTGACCCTGCGACCTTGCCTCCTCGCCATCTGCGTGTTTACTGCTCCCCTCGTGACGCTCTCCGTCTGAGTCACTGCGATTACTCTCCAAACCACTGCTGCACTGTTTCTGATGCTCTTTCTGAAGTTCCTCTGTAATCTCCGCGTCACTGGCAGAGTCCGTCTGGTAGGAGTTTAAGCTGGACAATCTCAAAAGCTCAGAGATTTCACATGCTTTAAATGAAAGTGCATCATCTTTCTCCAGCGCTGCTGCCGCTGGTGTCTCGCTGAGCTGAGGATGATCGCTGGTGTCTCGAGAGGCTGGAGAATCCATGTTGGCTCCCCAATGGAGGTCGCTCCTCCGCTGGAGGCCCAGAATGGGAAACCTTACAAGATGAAGGAGCAATGATGGTCTAAAAGTGTAAAGTGTTTCACATGTATCTTGTCAAACATGTGAAATAAGTGGCTTAGGCCCTGTTTACACCTGGAATTAAGAGACCGGTTTCACAGACAGAGCTTAGTTTAAGCCAGGACTACACTCTTAAAAATAAAGGTGCTTAAAAGGTTCTTCACAGCGATGCCATAGAAGAACCATTTTTGTGTACTGTGTAGATTTATTATGTATATATAAATACACACACATACAGTATATATATTTTTTTAAATATATACATGTATATACATTTATATATTTTATATTATATATAAATATATTTAATATATAAACATAACATATTTTTCTTAAATACATACATGCATGTGTTTTATATTTATATATACATAATAAATATACACAGTACACACACATATATTATGTAAACAAAAAAACTTTGATTTTGGATGCGATTAATTGCGATTAATCGTTTGACAGCACTAATTAAAACCATTAAAAAATTGTTTTCTGTAGTGTGTTTTGGGACATATTCCATTAGGATTTATTGGTTTTAACAAGCAATTACCAGTAGAGACCCACAGGGTCCATTACAGTTTCCATTAAAACCAATACAAGTCCCATTTAAGTACCAGTAAAACCATTACAAATTTTGTGATGGTGTCTATTCTGCACGCTTTAGTCACCTCTTCCAAACACAGGTCTGCGCTCTCACCTTGATCTCCAGGCTCTCGGGATCCTCGCCGCTCCCCTCGTCCAGGTCGCTGTCCTCGTCCTGCGTGGAGTCCCGCTTGTCTGCGGCGGTGGTCTCTGTGGCCAGGCTGGCACTCCTGTCCTCGCTGGGGAAGCCCTCTGCCTCCGCTCCGCAGGACGGACTGTCGATGCCGCTGTCCCGGTTGGGGATCTTTCCACTGGCCTCCGTCCCCTCGTGACCCTGCGACCTTGCCTCCTCGCCATCTGCGTGTTTACTGCTCCCCTCGTGACGCTCTCCGTCTGAGTCACTGCGATTACTCTCCAAACCACTGCTGCACTGTTTCTGATGCTCTTTCTGAAGTTCCTCTGTAATCTCCGCGTCACTGGCAGAGTCCGTCTGGTAGGAGTTTAAGCTGGACAATCTCAAAAGCTCAGAGATTTCACATGCTTTAAATGAAAGTGCATCATCTTTCTCCAGCGCTGCTGCCGCTGGTGTCTCGCTGAGCTGAGGATGATCGCTGGTGTCTCGAGAGGCTGGAGAATCCATGTTGGCTCCCCAATGGAGGTCGCTCCTCCGCTGGAGGCCCAGAATGGGAAACCTTACAAGATGAAGGAGCAATGATGGTCTAAAAGTGTAAAGTGTTTCACATGTATCTTGTCAAACATGTGAAATAAGTGGCTTAGGCCCTGTTTACACCTGGAATTAAGAGACCGGTTTCACAGACAGAGCTTAGTTTAAGCCAGGACTACACTCTTAAAAATAAAGGTGCTTAAAAGGTTCTTCACAGCGATGCCATAGAAGAACCATTTTTGGTTCCACAAAGAACCATTCAGTCAAAGGTTCTTTAAAGAACCATCTTTCTTACCTTTTTATAATCTGAAGAACCTTCTTTCACTACAAAGAAGCTTTTGTGAAACAGAAAGGTTCTTCAGATGTTAAAGGCTCTTTATGGAACCATTTAGACAAAAAAAGGTTCTTCTATGGCATCATGATGAAGCACCTTTATTTTTAAGAGTGTAGGTGTAAGTTCAATTAGGATATTTAAGCAGCTTTTATAAAAATGCCTTCGAAAGAAACATTACTGGTGTGCACCTTGAGACAAAACAATGGTACTGGCATAATTTAAGATATGTCAGTGCAAGTTATTTTTAGTTGAGATTTTAGTCTGGGACTAGCCTTAAGCCTTGTTTGTGAAACTGGGGGGAGATGTGTTTTAAATGCATCTGGTTTTGTTGAGACGCTTCCCTCCTGTTTCATCACACTCATCATGAGAAAGGTGAATGAATACAACGAATAAATATAGCCATTTCGCTGATTGTGAATGAGTGGGAAAGCATGCGAATGGAAAGGATGCTAGTAAAATTTCAATGATAGTCAGTGATAATCTGTGTTTATGGCACAACACAGTGAAGTTGAGATCTTAAAACACATCCCATAATGCTCGCGTACGAGGTCAGTGGGTGGCAAGCGGGCGTCTTATGCGGTTGAATGTGTTCAAACAGCCACAAAAGCATCAAGACTACAAAAACAATGTGTCAATGCATTTTTAATACCTCTGAAAAAGGTCAAAAGTGGTCAAAAATGTCTCAAAACGTTTTAGACCCATTTACACCTGTATTTAACATCATCCTTGTGAACAGATCAACGACAATGCATCTTAATACCAATTGCATAAACTTTACTTAGCCATCTTTTTTTTTCAAGATTAGTCATAACCTTTTAAAGTTAAAGTTTAAAACTCATAGTTAGTCAAACTAGTTTACAGTTTAATTAACTTTAAGAAAGTGCTGTCACTTTAAGAGAACGCACTGATCCGGACATCATTTGTAATTTTATTGTTTCAGTGTTTATACATACAAAAAGTAATTTTATTTGTTGTTTGTTGATTTTAAATATAAAACTTGCTGAAACTATTTATGTGTCAGCACTTTTGGAACATTTCCAGCACATTTTAACATGTTACCGTGATAAAACTGATAACCGTGAAAATTTTGGTCACTATAATCGTGATAAGAAATCTTCATACCGTTACATCTCTAATCCGAGTCTCAGCTCACACAGTATGACACACAGACGATGCTCAGCTCTTACCTGGAGCTGTGGATGGGTCCTGCAGACGGGACTCTGGCTCTCAGAGGGGGACTGGGCAGGGGTCGGCGGGGCACTGGAGGGACAGGACCGAGCAGGTGCACAGGCTTAGGGGGCACTGACAGACACACAGAGAGAGAGAGAGAGAGAGAAGACGCTCAGATCAGCTCTATCTCCATCACCTCATCCTCCGCTCACAGCCCAGAGATTCTCCCTCCATACTCATCCTCCCGATCCACCCGTGCATGCAAAGAAAACCAGCTAAGAGTACAAGAAAGATGGAGAGACTTCAGCTGTCCGAGAAACTGCCGGCTTCCTGAACCGAGAACAGGAAGTGGAGATGAGCGTGCGAAAAGAGCTGCGGTCACACGGCGAGATACAAAGCCACACACAACAGAGTCGAGAAGATGAAGTGTGTATGTGCATGAGTGGATAAACCACCTCAAATCAGTATGAATTTGTAAAGTGTATACTGAATGAGTTGCATTAGGACTGAATGAAATAGAACTTCAATGACGCAATTTAGAATCTGAATTCAGAAAGCAGATAGTCTGAGCTGCGCGCACTTCCTTCCTCTGTCTGTTTTGCACCATATGAAAGCCACAAAATATCCATGCAAGTTCACAGCATCACAAACACACATGCATGCTGGGAAACCAAAAACAGTAGCATTATCGAAATAAAAAATCATTGTTTTTCCAGAAAACGTGTTTAATACCGTGGGGTTTCTGTGCTCTGGGCGTGGCTGAGGGAGTGGGGCATGGCCTCGGTGTGTGCTGGGCGGGGCATGGCCTGGGAGGAGGCGGGGTTTTCTTCTTCTGAGGCTGCTCTACAGATCCACAGGAGCACTGCAGCGCTGCTGGAGACAAATCTACTGAAAACACAAAACACAACATGTGAAGGCATATCTGATAACCAGTGTGAGATTATCATATCGGCAGATGAAATCAACCAGCAGCCTAGTCAAAAGACAGCGTTCATAGAGTTTCTATGTTCAGATATTTTAGTGCATATTACCTAAATTCTTATCAGCTTGTTTTATTAATGCTTTATTTTAGCTGACTACTTTTCTAAATTGATAAACTTATGCACTCCTATCATGCATTTTCAGTAAACAATAGCTTTCTGGTAACCTTGTGTAAATCATGAGAAAGTTACCAGCTTTAATGCTTATCAGGAGTTAGATTGTCATCTAATTGTGTTTTGAAAGTCTTGTGGCTGTACTTTCAAAACGGTATGTATTTTAACATTTTTCCTGTGAGTATTTAAACATTTTTCAATTTTTACTGTAAGTTTATTACTGAACACACTATTTGGGATCATTTTTACAAAATGAGGAACAAGTCTGAATTATTCTCTGCGGTAACTAACAGCACCTTGTAATGAACCCAGAACACTTTATAATAATAATAAAAAATAAATAAATACATATCACAAAAATAAAAGCATATGTGAGACATTTCACGCTGTCTAATTAGCATGCGGCTTCTTTACACACTTCACCTATATTATTTCATCTGTGGAATTCTATATTACACGTTATTTCTAGTCCAGGAACTCCTCGACTCGACCTTCATCAGGACCAGAGAGACAGCAGCCATCGACTGGACGATCAATACAGACACAATTACATCTCAAACTCTAGCAACCGCTCCTCCCCGCAGCTCACAGAACTGCCAGTGACGCTCCAGCATTCGCATGAGCGTTTGCAGAAGCGTTCGGACCGTTTCCAACAGTCAAAACAAAACATTTCACAGGACAAACCCTCAATCTGAACAACACTTCATCATAAAATCAGTGTGAGCACCTCGGTACATATACCCAGTTCACACAGACAGAAAATCATGTCATATCAGCAGCGCCTTCTCCTAAACTACGAGATGAAGTGGAGACCAAACTCATTCTCCTGCTGACATCCTCAGTGATCTCACACATCTCCTGTAGACTTCCAGAAAAGTCCTCAACAGTGTCTCAAACTGTGCTCACAAGTGCCAAGATAACAGTCTGCCATCAAAACTAGGAGATCTGAACACACACTCAAACATCAGAGAAGGTTATGTTTTTAAAGCGGATACTTAAATTAAATTACCGTGATCTCTTACAGATATCTCCAAGTCTTGTGAGCAATAACATGTTAAAACCACAGAAAGAGAATATTCACTGAAACATGAGACTTACTTTATGCTCTGGTGCAGATCATATGCTTCTCTCCTCAGACCTCGCTCAGTCTCTGTGTGTGTGTGTGTTTGTGTGTCACCAGCCTCCTCCCTGTTACCTCATGCACACACACCTGTGACAGGTGAGAAAATCTGAGCTGGCACTGACTGCACCTGCTGTTGTTAGCAGTGCTGAGCTCCAGCTGCCAAACCCGCTTCACACGCTACTGTGTGCGCGCGTGTGTGTGTGTGTGTGTGTGTGTGTGTGTGTGTGTGTGTGTGTGTGTGTGTGTGTGTGTGTGTGAGAGAGAGAGAGAGAGAGAGAGAGAGAGAGAGAGAGAGAGAGAGAGAGAGTGAGTGTGTGTGTGTGTGTGAGTGTGAGTGTGTGTGTGTGTGTGTGCTCAGCTATAGACTACAGACACAAATGAGTTCAATCTGACTAAACCTGCCTTTCCCAAACAATCTGGAGCTTCCTTAAGTAATAACACTGTGTCAAAGCAGATGTGACCCTATTCACTTTCTACACACTCATGTTATTATGCATGATTCATTAATGCATGTTTTTACAAAAACAAAAAGAAGGATTCAATATCTTCCAAATAAATTAAAAACAAACCCTGGTTTCAGCTGACATCACCAATCTCTTATTGTTCCACCATCTGTCATAGAGAGACTCTTTCACCAACCTGCTCCTCATGGATAAAAGTCCCACATCACATTTCTGATTTCACACTGAATATCCTGTTTTACTGGGGGGGAAATCATATGTACCTTAAATGATTGTGAATACAGTGTCTTAAAGTTATGTTTTGACTTGGGAGAAAGTCTTTTGTTGTTGACGTTGAATGGGAGAAGTTCTAATACAAAACTCTTTTGTGGAGCAGTGAGAGACGCTCCTAAATATAATCAATAACAGCACTGATACTTTATGATCTTAAATACACACACACACACACACACACACACACACACACACACTGAGGGAGAGAAAAGAGAGCACACAACCTTCATGAATGGACCCTGGGTGATCAAAACACCTGTCGATGAAGGTCAGGACACTAGTTAGTGAGTCTCTGGGTCAGACAGAGGGGCTCTCGGGAGAAAGTCTTGGATTTCTCCTGAAGCTGAGCTAACTAGATACTGTTGTGTGTGTGTGCGTGTGTGTGTGCGTGTGAGTGTGTGTGAATGTGTGTGTCGGTGTGTGTTGGTGTGTGTGTGTGTGTGTGTGTGTGTGTGT